GGCACACGTCATTATCGTCCTCACACTGGGGGACTAGGGCAGCATTATCGACAAAAGCAGAAACCCTATAAAGCGAGCGGAAGGTGTGCGAGAAGTGGGTATTGATTACAAAGGCGATAACCACATCCAGAGCATTCGCAGCAGCCTGTAAAAAGGAGCGGTGGACACACGCTCTTAAACACACTCCTTACAGAGAGCCGGTTACCCAGAAACACAGTCAAAGTCCAGGGGTCCAAAGTTTTGCTGAAAATCCCGGGATTTGTTTGTGTCAATGTGCTGGATGTAGAAAGAGCGACTAAAGCTATTTGTAGAGGAACAAAGCCAGAACGCAGAGAAGCTCGAGTCTTTGTTCCACTTCTGGTCTGCCTCACACACTCCAGAGTGATGACGATCCTGGGTGTCCTGTCAAACGGCCTGCTGTGTGCTGCACATTTGGAGACATGACGTGCAACATAAAAGCTGTTGAGGAGAGCCACAGAGCGAGTGTCAACAAATTGAAAGATTACCACATTTTAGCCGAGAGAGATCAGATGATCTAAAAATAACTCCGATCAAATGGTGGGATACGACTTTTCTTGTGCACAAAAAAAAATGCGTTCAGTTAATATCATGGCAGCAAAATCTAAAGACGTCAAATTATCAAATAACCACAATGTCTGCCTGTAAAGATGCAACCTGCTGAAAAAAACTGCGTCCAAGGAGATCTTATTAATATCTGTGACTTAATAATATCTGTCGGTACTTTAAACATTTGTAACATATAGAAGAGGTAAGTTTGTTCATTTTATAATTCAATTTCCAAAGCTCTGATACAAACCAAGGGATATATATTGTATCCCTGCTTTCACCAGAGGAAATTTCTATGGGAGAGCAGATGATGTTTCTGGGAAAATTGACCTGTTTTGGCTACAAAGGCCATCTTGCAGCTGTAAAGTTACTTTGAACTCAAATCTGCAGGGGATGGGGATCTTGGCACAATAGAGGCAGCTAAAAGGGCTTTGCTCTCCAGGGGCAGAGACACAGATTCAGTATGGAGCAGTTTAGTCTAGATTTCCCCTCTAGATGTTGGGGAAGACATTTATATCCCAAGTGAACTGGAAGAATGTATCAGGAGAGCTTTACTACTCAGAGTGTTCATATTCAAATCAGTGGCTTAAGGGTGCATTTTCCGATAAAGTTACTATGTTATATGCAGCAATATCTTCAGGTTTTGGGGTAGAGAAACAGCTAGAGCTGTGATATATTTAAATAGTAACCCTTTGACAATTTATCTGTAAAATTTGTAAATAGATAAAAGATGAGTGAAGAAGAGGAATGAGATCCAAAAAATGGTCTCCAGCTACACCATGACAGCCATGACTACTTTAAGTGCCCTCTTGAGCAAACATCATGTCAACAGATTGTGGATGAATATGGCATTTCCTAAGTATCCCTCGCAGCTCAGCATGAGAAGTTTTGGCATCTGCTGGTTGGTCTTCCAGCGACAGAAAAAAGAAAGAAAGAAAAGCAGAGCTCACCACCACGCACAGATAGTGACTCACACAGCTCTTCTCAGTCCCTCCATTCTGTTGTTTTTCCTTCATTCACTACTGCTGTCTCCCTATTTGTCATTCACGGTAGAGCAAAGCCATAGTTCTACTTGATAGGCTTAGGGCCCAACACCATTATATATCCCCACCTGATTAGGGGAGGGCAGACCGTCACGTGCCATGATCAGACATCAGGAGTTTACAGATCAGTCTGTGAAGTCTCACATTGTTGTTTTAACCACGTCTAACAGATGCTTATTGGCTTAGTAGTAAAATATTGAGTCATCTAAAGGAAAACTGTCACACGGGCACTATTTAGGGCAGCCCAGGCTTGTGAAAAGTCCGATATACAAATGAGAGTAGTGTCCGCTCACAATTTAATGACCGGGCTCCAATAGTCCTGCAACATTTATGACCTTCAAACGCTTCCTATGTTGCCATCGATGCCACCGACACCGCACAAGGTCTGACCTTTAGCTGTCGATCAATTCTGGATCAATTTTACCCGGTCCGAGTCCCGTATATCTTGCAAAAGATGCAATCGGAGAAGTTCAGATGAACGACGGACAGCCTGACGGATGTAAGGAATGCACAGAGCTTTGATGGAAAGAGAAAGTGTGGGACAAAAAAAGGCAGCCATCTTTCCTCGCTCTGCTGCAATTTCCAGGTATCGCTTAACATCTCACACAGCGGTATTCATTTCCTCCGGTCGGTTACCTCTTTTGAATCTTTCTTTTTTCTTTGCTTTGATTGAAGCTGTTTATTAGCCAACATCAGTGGTCCTCTCAACCCAACATTTCACTAGACAGTTAAAGATGAGGAGTTCCTCCATCTTCATTTTCCCTAAATGTGCAGAAAGATAGGTGGGAATGACACAATGATACCTCCACATTAACTCATCCTCCAATCCAAGTCTCATACCAAGAGAAAAAAACTATCCACACAGCTACCGACACTGGCCATGACTGTTATCATAGCTAAATCACTGACTTATTAAAAGATACCTAAACATGATCTGGATTGTGCTTCCCAACGCTGATGCTGTGCTTAGTTAAACTGTAGCCAGGCTCTCAGCCATGAAAAGTCTTAGGTGCAGCAACTGTGGGATTTTTTCAGAGAAGGGAAATATCTGCATGGACATTTTTATCGCAGTTTCGCAATATTCTATTAAAGGAAGCAGTTGCTTCCATGTGCAATTTCATTATTACATTAAAAGAGGGGGGGGGGGCAGTCCTTAAACACCTATTTTGCTCATCATACTAGTGGGACTGTTGTGGAACATTATTGCTGTCACTAAAGTTGGGACTTCTACAGGTGGCGAGGGCAGTTTGTTGTAAAGAAATCAGCCTCAATGCCTCTAAATAAATCAAAATATGCAGCATTTCTTTGGAACAGGGGCTTCATCTAACTCAGCGACGTGTGCCGGGTACCTGCCATATTTATATATACCCACAATTCCCATGTTTAGGTTTGGTTTCAGAGCCAAAACGGCCGGCATATAAGGAGCCCCCCCCCCCACTGAGCTGCACTTGTGAACACCGCAGCTTGGGTTCCACGCTGAGAATCTCAGGGAGGACGTTTTCGGCCTCGAACACGTTGGCATTCGTGCCCAATTCCCTGCCTGTCAACCCCACTTTCCGCCACCGACGACTGCCCCGGCCCGTGCAACACGTCGCAAGGCAAAGCCCCCACAACCGCACACGGGAGGGGGGTTTCGAAGCCTCCGAGGAAAGGAGGTTGCGTGGAAATAAACACGCTCCGTTTTATTTCTCCGACGACCCATTTCTGTTATCGCAACGTTATCGCGTTTAGCTCGCTAATGTTTACCAGCTGTGTTTATTGTCGTTACGATAAAAAAAAAGAGCAACAGGAATACATAGGTGCACGGGTACGTGTGTGTGTGTGTGTGTGTGCGTATAAATAGACACGTATATTTGGCAGAATGACACACAGTGGCTTGCCCTTGTTTGTCACAGCCACCGTGGGAATCGGGGGACCTCATGGTTGCTATGCAAACGGGTGACAGCCAAACTACAGCCGCGCGGAGCGTGCTCTTCTCCGCTAACGAGGAGGAGAGGGTTTACTTAGGGAAGCGAGCTAGTAACGTTAGCAACTACCGCGCGACGTGGTCAAGCAAACACACAAAGATGAGGTTACAATCGCCACAAAATAAAATTCCTCCAAATATAGCAACTCTGGCGTGCCTAAAAATACCATCAAAGCCCTATTCCGCGTAACGTCTGTGGGAGCTGCGCTAGCTAGCATAAGTTAGCATATAAAACATGTAAGTTAAATAATTAGAAGTAACTAAAATAGCGAGTTACTGTCACCGCCGCGTTGGCGTTAGGTGGGCAGAAAGACACAGACTTACTCTTTGCCGATCAGCGCTCGTACGGTTTCAGGGTTCCCTTCCCAATGCTGTGTCATAGCAGGCAGGGCTCGGGGAGAGGACAGCTGGGTTGTGGGGGGACGGCTGGGGTCTGTCTGTCGGAGGAGAAGTTGCTCCGTTTCAACATGGAGAGAGCGGAATGGTCTGGATCCTCCCGCTGCGGCTCGTATGACCGCGGCCACGCAGGGAGCTCTGGCGACCCCTGTGGCCGCAGGTGGGTACTACACCAGCTGCGGCTTTTTGTGTCAGATGCGTTTTCCCGATCACACACAGTGAGTCTGGAAACTCGACAATTCTGAGCATTTTTACTCTTTATTTTTGTTTTAACAGGAACCTTTTGAAAATGCATTCAACACGTGATCTTTCTCTCTCTGTCATTGGATTATAAGTGTCACAAGGTACATTTTTTGCATTTCTATGGTTTATAGAAACAACATAAGACATCACTTCACAATCCTATCCGACTGAGGTCCAGCTACCGGGAGTAATTTACACACTCTTCGTAGAGAGGGGTCATTAATATCTGGTTAGCATTCACATCTGTCTGTTTAGATGCAAAATATTTTTCTAACTTCAGTAGTATGACTGGCTAATTTTGAACTAACCTGTTATTTAATTTTACATTTAAAGGTCGTATAGCTCTTTTGATTGCTCCTGGACCTTGTATTCTTTCTCAGAGAGCAGAGAAAACAAGAAAGAGACATTTAAATGCCAGATCTATTTTTAAATCCAACTTCTGGATGTCAGAGACATAAAACAAGGATGACATGGCGGACTGGAAAGATGGAGCGGGGTCTCATTGAAGCCGACATTCTGGCAGAATCTTATATTACCATTGGCACTGTGCAGTGTGAAAACAACCCCACATTGTAGATGGGCCCAAGTGTAGGTCTGCTGTGGGCAGTAAAATCTTCTGAGTTTCTGTGAAGAGCTTTTACCTTCATAGAATAAGAAAGAAAAATGGCTCCATTATTCACCTGTGTAAGGGCTACTTTCCTACTTGTAACTTCAAAGCTTAATATTGCAGAGGTGTGCAGGCTGACCCACATCTGCATTATGGAGCATTGGGTTGTTTGAGTCCTTTAGATCTCTCCTTTTGACAGAGTTTGCATAATGAACATATCGTCAAATAATTGTTCAGTAGGGCTTCAACAGTATTAACTGCACAGACAACATTGTATTGAGAGAATAAAGCTTTAATTATATTAAGGCTGATGAATCCTTGTAGAGGAGATTGATACGATAAGATATAAACATCCTTTTTTCCCATTTAAGTTGATAGCCTGAGATACATAAACATTTTAAAATCCCGCCTCATTTTACATAATTGCATTGAACCAGCAAGCATCTCATAAAGTATTTAAAAACATCATACAAATTTAACTGTTTCCTATTCTTATTTGTCATTTAAAACATAAGTGCTTTCAAGCATTTAAACTACACACTCATATAAACAAAACAGAACATAACCTGAACTAGTACAATCACTTACAAAGGCGTACCTGCCTCATGGAATATTTTGCTTTAGAAGCTGAAAATAATGCCTGTACTTTGCGGACAATCGTAAAATCACAGGAAATGACCACAGTCGGATCCGATATGAAGCAGGAAGTAACACAGCATTACACTTTCTGTGAGGAATGTACAAAGAAACGACAAACATCAATCAAAGAAAACAATGAAAGCAACAGTTTAAGATTTAGGCTGGTGAAATAAGACAATTCTAAGTTATATTCAATTCCCGAGCAATCAAATGATAGATGACTAGTAAAATATTCCACTTTGTTAAGAACTGGCCAAAATGTGATAAACACTACAGATAAGGGAAAAAAACAACAAAACATCTCTTTTGTTTAAAGTGGACGGTGTGGAAGAAAAAAATGCATCCAGTGCATTATTCACATTGCAGTGCATATAAAATAGACTCAAACATAAACACCTCTTCAATAAAAACATTGCACAGTTCATACTGGTGTACTGTTAGTCAAGCAAAAATAACATAATAAGGCATAATTTAAGTTTCCTGCAACAACATCGTATAGTCCCTATTCTTCATCAAGAAGAAGAAAACAGAAGTGTGCCACCTGTTGGTGTTGAAAGCCTACAGGTTGTTGTCAGGCACACATTATTTACACCAGCATTTATTTTATGCAGATCCAAAGTTTGTTTTCATTAAATGTTTCTAAAAAAAACTATCTATACAGCATCCAGAAAGATACCTGAGTAAAAGAGAGTCATCTTAATGAATCACATACAGTAGGAAGCAATAAAAAATTTTCAGGAATGCAAAAGTATGCAGTATCAAGGAAGAACTATATCTTAACCACAATTTTGCCTGTGACATTATCCACTACTGCACTGCCACACATTTATTCCAAAATCAAACACTCAACTTTTTAAAAAAGCAAATAAATACATGTAAGTAGAGGCACTAGAAGTTTGGATCATTTTGAACTAATATCTGTGACTGGTAAAAACATACATATATATACAGCATTGAGATCTGTGAAAGCCCTTCCCTTTTCACGTGCCTGCTCTGTTCCTTGTTTTTAATGAGGAAGAGGGATGGAAGAGCTGAACAACTCTATCTAATCTAATATTTATTTCTGGGAAAACCCTTTTTTGGTTCCACATTCTCATAAATGGAGAGTGCGGCTGTGTTTTGGTAGATTAGATCCACGTTGTTCCCTGTTCTCGACCGGATGACATCCAGGGCACACTGGTTCAAGAAGACATACTGGTCCTGCAGACATATCCAACGAGAAAGACTGGTGAGCTACAAACCGATCGTATCGAGCAAGATTCATGAAAAGGGCTCGGCGGCAGGAACTGCCTCCTACCTCCGTCTGCACCATCAGGGGCCTGTGCATTCGTAGGTCATAAACAATGCCAAACACGTCCACGGTATTTTCCCTCTCGATTTGGAAGATCAATCGATCGATGGCTATGAAGGTGCCGGTGCGCCCCACACCAGCACTGAGTGTTGGCAACATAAACCCACGGACAAGGGACAGGGAAGAAAGAGAGAGAGGCAGAGAGAGACAGAAGGTCAGATCCGTTTCTCTGGAATTTCTGTACCTGTCACATTGAACTAAATTGTGCATTTGTTTGAGCATTCTTCCTGACCTGCAGTGGACCACAGTGGGAGAGTTTCTCGAGTACTGGTTCATGTGCTCCCTGACCAAATGTCTAAAGCTGATGAGGAGCTCTGTGGTTTCTGGGACCCCGTGATCTGGCCAGGCAGTGAAGTGGAAGTGACGAATTGAACGGACCTCTGCTGTTTTCACCTGCGGGAGATGAAGCACAAAGTTGGAAAAAAAAAAAAGTCTGAAAACCTATTTGACCTTAACATGAGCTCCGAAGCTCAGGAGGTAAACTGCAGCTGAGAGCTGTCTGACATAATAATGACCTTAAAGCAAGGATTGATGTTTTAATGCAAACTGCTTTTCACTCCAACTGTAATATCAATACAAATCCTTAAGGTATGAAAGGCGATGGTTGCCTTTTTGTACATCACAGATGCCCAGACACGTGCCAACAAAAACAGAACACATTCATTTGTGTTCTAAATAAAATTATTTAAAAAAAAATGCCCTGTCATGCTGCAGACATTGTAAATGGCAAACACAAAATAACTTGTACTGAGAGTGCTTTTCCCCCCACTTTTCTACTTACATTTTTAACATCAAAGTCTCTGATAGTCCAGTCATCAAGTGGTATTTCTGAGGTTGTTGTCACAGTGATGTCTTCAAAGTGCTTTGTGCCGGGCACCCAGTACTGCTCACATTTGACCTGAAAAGAGAAGACCATGAATGTCTTTAATTTGCAATGTGCTGTCCATCACATATGAGTAAAAATTCTGAGTATATTTCATGACATGTGCAAAGTCCATGTTGCTGCAAATTCTGCCCGTTTGTGTGCACACTCACTCGTCCCTGTTCATTACATCGTGTCAGCATGACTAGAGTCTGAACGTTCTTCTCCCAGATCATCCTCCAAAACTCGTCGACTGTTCCGGGCAAAGGACCTTGAGCTGCTATAAACTCCTTCCTGGAGAGGTAACCCTGCCAGAAAAAAAGGCCAAACCAGCCACAGAAAACATCAAAGTTGGGTTTGAACGAGGTCCTCGAGCGTTTGGCGCGAATGACGGACTAGTTCAAACGACTGACATGAGGCAAAAAGAATGAGAGGTTACGCTGTTGGGTTGGATGTGGTGTAAAACAGAGAAGGGGAGCCGTGTTAATGAGTGTCAGTACGCACCGGCATGTAGTTAGCATTGATGTAGTCATCATATGGACTTCCATGGATAATAGAGAGTTTCACTCTTGACGAGTCATCTGGGAGGTGAAGAAGAGGGTAAAAAAATGGTTTGTGAGAGGAGGGTGTTGGCCAAGCTAACTTTCCTCGTGGTCAAATCCTCTCACTCTCTGCCCCAGACCGGGGAGGCTCTCAGCTTATCCCCACGGTGGGATCAATAAAGTTAATCTATCCATATAAAAAGGCTAATGATTCAGCTTTGGCAATAAGGTTTCCCTCACTGTGATCTATGTTGGGATATGAAAGATAAACTATGACACCCCTGGCTAAACTTCAGCAAAAATGGGTAAATGATCATGGATGCCAGGCATGAAAGGTGATTATTTCTCTATGAAGAATGAGTGTTAGTGATGAGAGCAACAGAGGAGGAATGGAGACGGTAACTCACAAGGAAGCACGTTGTTGTAGCGGTTTTTAGGCTTGTTCTCCAAAGACAGCGCATGTGTCTTTGCCTGACTGGTGCCGACAGGCTTGAGATCCTTAAACAAGGAAAAAGAAGAAAACAAATCTACAGCAAACAGCAGACCAGTGGTCATTTTGTCTTGGTGTGTGGTCATGAGTACGTGAGATGTTTGTTTGAAGTTGATCTGGATGCTCCAGACAATGAAGCTAGAGCCATGGTGGATGCAGAAGCGTTTGCAAACAAAACTCCATTTTGGATGAGGTAGATTAGAGTTCAGACTAGAGCTGCGCCTTTGATCACACTCCACTCCTTCTATTGTTTCACTGAGGTATTACAGTAATCGTAAAAATCCCATTTCCCCAACTTTTGAGAAATATCATAGTTGTTACATTAACTTAAAGTGTAAAATTCTATCAACTTACCGCAATATGTGTCACAAACGAGGATCAAGTATAATTTCTCACCTCAAATTCTTCTGCAAATCCACAGTTGGAGTCTGCTTTCTGCTTCCTGTAGTACACCTCATAGTCTTCCACCCTCACAGCTGCACTCCTGTTCAGACCAACAACCCAGATCAAATAAACTCTCTAATGAAAAACTACACTATATTTAACTCTGATGATGATTCAAATGACTCGTACTTACACTTTGGCTCTGGAAAATGAAAGAGGAGAAAGCAAAATAACAGAATCACTGTTGTTGTTCGGTAAATTCAGACATAAAACATCCGTGAGGTAAAAATGTAAAACTCACCTCAGTGAACCAATCTGGATGTCTGGAGCCTCTTTTTTGGAAAATCTGCAGCACAGTATATGTTTAGTTTTCAGTCTGTATAAATAAAAAGTGTCTTGACAGCATTTTTTTTTTTACAGTCATGGCACTGACTAACCTTCTCCAGTAGATAATAAAGCCCATGAGGATGATGAAGAGAATTCCAAATATTCCCAAAGTGACTCCGACAGCCATTGGAATGATGTCTAAAATGTTTCCAAAAATCATGACAGAAAGACAAATTCAATCTCTTGCTCGCAGTGTAAAATGACTTAAATCCATAAGATTCAGCAATCCGTACTTGGGTCTCTCAACAGTATAACAACTTCATCAAAGTCAGTTATGGACACCAGCGAGTCCTCGCCATTCACAAGGTTATTGTTTAACTTCAGATGGGTGAACATCACAATGGCATAGCTGCAGGATAAAACAAACCATTCACTTTAGACGATTGAAATAATGTTTTAAACCCAAATTTCACTTGATCAGATATAGTTTGTAATCCATAGATTACAGTTGTAATAATTTGTTCCGGTAATCATCTCTTTCAAGTATTCTAAAGAGTCACAAATCTGAATAAAATATGAATAAAATCATTATTCAACACCGGGTGACAATTTTACTATATCTATATTTTGTAAATTCTATAACAAATCAGTTGTCTACTTATTTGTGTACTTTGTGTTCTTACTGATAAGATCCGCTGGGGTCCAGTGCACCGTTGGTGTAGCCCATCCATGTTTTTTCAGTTCCTATTTCGATGAGCAGATGATCGTTACTGCTTCGTGACTGTGGGGTGGTTTCGATGACTGTTGCAAGGTATGCTTTAGCGGATTTTTTTCTCCATTCCTGATGTGTTTTTCCCAAGTAGCCTGTCAAATCAGAATCACCTGGAAGGAAAGAAATACCCCCAAAAAGTCTAATTTGTTCCAATATAACAATGATGTACAAGAATTAACGTGAAATTGTGAGAAAAACAGTGAGATGAGTATCAAATTGATTACAAAAGCAAAGCACACACTCCTTCAAATTGTGGGAAAAAAACTGAACTAACCAGGAACAGCGCTTGCTACGAGGACCCCAACATGTGTAATCCTTCCGTTCGCTTCGTTTAGCAGTTCTCGATCAATCTGAACAGTGAACTTATTGTGTGATACATGAATTGGTAAGCTTAGAAGGGAAGAATTTGCAGGAATGGGTGGCTCTTCAAAAAAAAAAGAAAGATATTGAGAATTAGTTTCACTATAGTACTTCTTAACAGGATACTGCCGGCTAAAGTTCAGCTGGGGAAACAAGACATACAAATGAATTACATCGCTTGCTTTGTGCAGGTGCATCTAAAACTCCAATGACCACTATTTTAGATGCTGTCAATTGTAAAGAAGCACGCGTGACTGCACAGAAGATAAGGACTTACTTGTGATGCCGGTCCAGCATTTACGAGATACAGGACTGCTCGGATGTCCACAGCTTTGAGTTTTCACATTGACATTGTATTCAGTGTAGTGGTGAAGCTGGGAAACATTATGGTTGCAACACGAGGCGTTCAACACGTTGGTCTGTCCGTTGTTTTCTACAGAAACTTGGAAATGAGAGCTCTGGCCAGAGGGTCTTTCCCAGGACAAAATGAGCACTGCATTTGGTGAGTTTGGTCCGCGACATGTCAAATCTGTTACGGGGCTTGCATCTGCAGCAACGAAGCAGAAATAAATGTCAAGTAAAACCATACATCTTTTTAAACCACTCTCATTTTTTCATGACATTTTTTTTGTTTCTTTTGTATCTCATGTGACATTCTGCACTACTTTAAAATGGGCCCTTTTCAGAAAAATCCCCTTTTGATTTACAACCACAATGTAAAAATTCAATAGATTAAACAACATGGCCATAGAAACCTATTCGAACAAAATTCTACATGAAATTTTTTTTGTGTGTTTTTTTTTTGGCATTTCTAGATGAGCACAAACCAGCATAAGCACCAGACAACTGTACAATCTCCCCAAAAAATGTTTAAATGATATAGAGTTACTATAATCGTACGTGTGCAGTTGTTAACCCTTTCTGATGCCCCCTGGGTTCCATCAGAGGTCTCTGTGGTGACCCTGATCTTATATGGGCTGCCAGGTATCAGGTCACTGATGACATGAGAATTTGTACTAGTCATGTTGCTGCTGATGCTCCCGTCTGGGCTTTCCCAGGTCACGTTGTAACGGTAGCTGCTCTTATACTCATCAGGCTTAGTCCATGTGACTTCGATCGTTGTCTCTGCTGGAATGGCGGCAACAGCCCCCACGCTATGTGGTCCTGAAAGAATGAGACGTCAGAGAAATGCAGAAACTGCTACCCAGACAGGACCGTGGACGAGAAAATGAATGCCTCTGTGGTTAAAAAAATAGAGCCCTTACGCGTGGTCACCATGCTGCTGTGAACACTCTCGCTCTCAAAATTCATCGGTCCAACGCTCTTCACAGAAATGTTGTAGGAAGTCCCAGACAGCAGTGAGGAAAATCTGTAACTGGTTGTGGTCCCAGGGATGGTACTGTCGCTCCCACTCTGGCGTGGTGTGTAAGTCAGTTGATAGTGGAACGATCCACCACTCATTAGAGGGGCTTCTTCCCATCTAAATTCAATGGCACTTGTCGTTTTGTTCAGGATCTCAATCAGTCCCGGAGGGTTAGGGACTGCAGAGACAGATACCCAACTTTAAAAAAAAAACTTTAAAACTTTCAAATATTCTTTACATTTTTCCAAATCAAAGGTGACCATTTAAGCCTTTTATAAATAACGTTAGAACAAGTGAAATAACCTGGTGATCAGCTTATTACATCCACATTTGTCCTTTTTCTTTTCTTATCAGCAGCTTTGAATTAACATATAAAACTGATTTACTTAGGTCATATTTCTGATCATTAACAATGCCAGCAATCTTTGTTCAGGGAGCCTAATCTGACTCATCACAGTTAAAAAAAAGGCAAAACATTTTGTTCGGCCACACAGCAGCAGGACCATCAGCATAACACGTGTGTTCAGCATCAGGGCAATAATCAGCAATATTTTTTCTAATATTACATCCCAGTGTCCGTTAAACTAGAGGTTAGGGTACTGAAATGTCTCAACGCTTTTTGTGATCGAATAAGTGTAGTTCTCCATGAGTAAGTCTAAACTGAGAATATAAAATAGTTCCTCATACTCACACGTTGCATTAGTAACATATTCAGATGATGCGCCAAAGGGTCCACTGAATGTGCTCAACTTAACACTGTAAAGCGTTCCAGCTGACAGGTTGGGAAACAGGATGAAATAAGTTGAGGAATTAAGCTCTTCTGTATAGATCATGTTGGTGGTGCTGTTAAGGGAAACTTTATATCTCTCTATATTTCCAGGAGGTTTGGTCCATGACACCTGGACTGAGCTATTAGAGCCGTGACTGGAGATGCTGGGCTCCACCGTCTCCGGCTCTGTCCAAGTGCAGACGAGGAAAATTAAAACAGATCCTCACACAGATGATTAAAAAAAAATAAAAAAAGAACAAGAGCTTACTAGTGTACTGAGAGGTGCAGTATTCCTCCCCTTTGATGCCATCAGCTGCCTTCACAGACACACAGAAGGTGCAGTTTGTTCCGGGGGTGAGTCCTCCGACTAAAGAGTTTTTCTCTGCCATGGTTTGGTTTTGGATGGCGCAGCCTGTTGTCTGCACAAAATATCTGTATTCCTCTTTGTACTCCTCTGGCTCTTTCCATGTGAGGTTAATTGCAGTTGTGTTTAAGGTCACAGCCTGCAACTCTTTGACTCTGAGTGGCCCTAAAAACACAAGATACCCTGTTACACGTTGTAAAGGGGCGCAATTCAACGGATCGATCCATTTCTGACAAGACATGCAGAAAACGCACGTGTGAAGTAGGAAACTGTCGCAGGTTCTGCTCGAGTGCCATCTGCTGTCAGCGTGGTAACAGTGAAGCTGTAATTGCTTCCAGACCGAAGGTCAAGAACTGTTGCCCCAGTAATGTTTACCACTTTTGCAGGGGGCTTGTCAGCAACATGGACCTCATACGAGTAGGATGTTTTGCTCTCTCTTTGTTCCCAGACCAAGGTGACTGAATTTGTTGTTATTTCTGTCTGCTTCAGCTCGGTTACAGCATATGGTTCTGGAGAAGTGAGACGGAAGGGATACATTGAATAAGCATGGACGGAGGCAGTTTGAATCTCCTAAAACCCTGCAGTGTGCTTAAATAGTCTCTATGGTTGACCACAAATACACAACGGTGTGATGTTTTTCCGAAATACCCTGTAAATGTGTTAAATTCACCTATTTGACTCAGAAAGGATCATCAAGGACACATTTATTTATCAGCAACTGACAAAAGGAAACAATTTCAGTATTCTGATTTTTTAAGAAATCTTAGTTATTTTAGAGATCATAAGCTTAATTTATCACAGCATTTTAGAAGTTATAAAATTTGCATTGCTGTAGTAACAATTACAATCAACACCAAAAAAATAAAAGTATATAAGACACAAGTGTTGAAGATGAATATGTCAGACTGAAAACAAATGCTTATCTTACATTGTAAAATATGTGGACGAAATCCTACGGCATGGGTATTGTCAGCAGTGAAGATGTGAAGTTTGAATCAGTTTGAATCTACTCACTTGTGTAGTTCTCGGCCGTTACTTCTGTGCTCGTATAGCCCCACACACCAATAGTAATAACAGAGATTGAGTAAGGGCTTCCTGACAGGAGGTTTTCCAAGAGGAACCAGTTGTTCCCAGTCAGATTATTCGCCGCACCACTCGACACAGTGAAGTTGTACTGATCATGGCCCATGTTTTCAGGACGTTCCCAGGTAAAATTAATGGAGTTGACAGTCTCAAAAGCCACTGTGATGGGGCCAGGAGGGTTGGGAACTGAACAATAGAGGGATAGAACTCATTAGTAAAATAAGCATAGCTAACAAAGTGTGAATATTAGCTTTTAAAATGTCAAATTTACTCACAAGTTGCATTGCATTGAGTTACATTGTTACTCTGAACAGGTCCACTTCTGGTCACCAGCACCACGCAGTAATGTACTCCTGGTGTTAGGCTCGTAAACACTGTGCTGGTGGTGTCCTTGCTCAGATTTCCTTGACACTGACTGTAGTTTTCGCGCAGGCAGACAGAATATGAGGATACCTGCCCTGGTGCCTTGTTCCAGCTCACTGTCAGGCTTGTTGTGGTTCCTATGGCTATGACACCAGAAACTTGACCTGGAACTAAAGGGCAGAAAAGGCTTTCATTTAATTTACATGATTATTTTAAGTGACCTTGTTAACAGACTAACTGTGACACAATGTGCATTCAAATAAACACCAAATAGGAGTGTATTTTTCCCCGAAATCTAAATTTGAGAAATGCTTATCGTAATGGTTAATGAAACACAAGGAAAAAAGCTCAAACTTAAATTGATCTTATAACAATTCAAAACTCTCAAAATGCAGGAATTTATAAGAATAATCGAGCAATAAATCGAGAATAAAAGTTAAAATCTGACTATACGGGGCTTTCTTTTAACCTACTTTACGAAAGCGCAACAATAAATTCTGTTTTCCTGTTTCCATTCTTCTCAGCAGTATAGATTTTAAAGTGACGACATAAAACTTAGAAAACAAAAATACATTTCAGGAAAATAGAGGACATACTTGTGTATATTTGTGTGCTGTTATTTGTGGATAAGACCCCTTCAATGACTGTGTACACATAAAAAGTGTACAGGGTTCCAGGGTTCAGACTAAAGAAGGTGTACGATTCCTGTTCTGTTGAACCATTCCGAATCTCCAGAGGACCATCGAATGCTTTCACCTCGTAGACATAGGAGGGTTTATAATCGCTCTGTCTTGCCCAAGTCAACTTGATGGCTGTTGTGTTCACGTATGCTCCTTCTAAGTTGGTCACCGTTTTGGGCCCTGAGGCAAATGCAGCAGACAGTTATGGAGGGCTAAAATCAACTGTTCCTGTAGCCTTTTTCACTCATAAACATCTCCCTTTACTTACACGTGTAACAGGATGTTGACGCAGAAATGGATTCAGCCCCATCCGCGGCTTTTACTGTAACCTTGATAATATATTTAGATCCTGGCTGAAGTCCGTTCACCTCTACTCTGGTATTTTTGACACTCTGGGAGTCAAGAAGTGCTCCTGTCTCGTTATAAGTTTTAACCAAGTACACGTAATGAGACTTGGCGCCCAGTGGTTCTGTCCAGTTTACTGATATTGAAGTTGTGGAAATGGGGGAGGCTCCAAAAATCTCCACTGGGTTTGGCACTGAAATGGCAACAAATGGAGAAAAAATGTTTGTTTTTTTTTTTAAAGAAAAAGCAATTTGGTAGCAGGAAATTATCCATTTAAAATTATTAAGTAAACTGGAACAGCCAGGCAGGAAAACTTACAAGTGAAAGATGAATTACTGATAAGCATGCTTTGCAAATCGTGTGGTCCAATGGTGGCGATGGTTATGTTGTAGAGGGTTCCAGACTTGAGTCCACCTAGACGAAGCTGTCTGGCATTTCCTTCGGACTCATCATTTTTTGTCTCATTAGAATCGTTGGTGTCTGTGTAACTAAACACGTACTTAATCCCAGAAGCATGTTCCATCTTTACTGGGGTCGTCCACTCCAGCATAAGTGAAGAGTTCATCCTGTTACTGATGACGAGGGAACCAGGGGGATTGGGAACTGAGAGGGAAAAAACAACAGATGCTCACAAAAATGCACACAGATCAGTTGAGAGTGTTCTCTACAGTTTAAGCATTTAACGAGTAAAAGAAGTTTTAGGAATAAAAAAAACAAATGAGCCATATCCATGGACGTGATGTGTGTGTGGTCAGAGATGTGCCTGAATCACCCAAGATTTAAAAGGTTTAGAAAACAGGATACAGAGGACTTGGGGAGGGGAAATTTAATCCAAGGACTCACACTACATATATTCAAATCTAAATTGTTAATATACAAACTGATCAGAATGTAACAGTAATAAGTGACAATCAGGGGGGAATTCAAACATGTAACATGGATGGTAGGGGGTCTGAAAGAAACCATTGACCTTAGAAAGAACATTCATCCATCCATTTCATTTCAAGCCTGGATTGTTAAATGCTATTTTTATACGCTCTTACCAGTGGCAAACGAAAGCTCATCAGATGTGCTGGAGAACTTTCCAGCTTCAGCTGTCACTGTCAAATTATAAAGTCTTCCCGGATATAAAAGGGAGAAGTTCGCTGAGCGGGTCTTTGTTTCTGTCCAATTCATATAGGGCAGATCTGCATTGGAGATGTTCACGATGTAATGCTCAATCTCTCCTTCAGGCAAAGTCCAGGTGAACGCCATGAAGTCAGTTCTCCGTGATGTTAAGGTAAGATCCAGAGGCTTTGCAGGTCCTGTTCAACAGCAGAGGAAACATTTTAGGTTAATGGTACAACATTTTCTTTAGAACTTTTAAAGGACAGAAATATGTAACTTTGTGTTCGTTGTGTCTTTCAGTTTGCCTCTGTCACAAAAAGTGTTAACTATCTGATTATTTACAACAACAAAAAACATCACTGACCTAAAAAAAATCGATTTTCAAAATTATTTTTCTCGTCTCCAAAAGTGAACTCTTGTGAATGCAACCACTTCACGAAAAGAATCAAATGCATTAATAAACCCTTATTAACACAGAAATCACCGTCTTTAAAATTAACATTAATTAAAAAAAATCATTAACCTACTTGTGAAGGAATTTATGAAGACTGTTTCGCCCTCAACTGACTTCAAGGCAACGGCAGTCACTGTAATGTTGTATGAGACTCCAGGGACTAAACTGTTGATGGTATAGGAGGTGTTTTGTGTGTAATTGTTGGTGAGGCTATTATCTTTCGAGCTCCACTGAATTTTGTAATGGTCTGCATTGCCGTATGGTTTTTCCCAGCTTAGTGACACAGATGATGTGGAGACGCCAGTCACGCTGAGACTGGTAAGCTTCTCGGGTTCTGGAAAAAACGTGGAACAAAGAATTGAGCTTTGTATAATCTAATAAACTGCATATTTAAAAGACAAGCATGAGGAGAAAAAGTATTCATAAGCATTGTCTATAATGGAAGAGGAAAAATGGGCTCACTGGTGACTTTTTCAAAGGTGTAGGGCTCTCCTTTCGTCTTATTGTCTCCAGCAATGGCAGTGATGTTTATGGTATAGAGAGTACCAGGAAACATATAGAAAAGTGTGATGGAGGTGCGATCTGTGAAACTTGAATTGTTGTCCCAGTCTACTTTATATCTTAAAACTTGACCATCAGGTGAAGTCCAGTTGATGGAGATGGTGGATGTTTCTGATGTAGCTTGGACATTTCCTATAATCCCTGGTCCTGGACAGGGAAAAAAAGAGAAGACAGAGGACAAAAACGAACAGGAACGTAAATAACATTCTTAAAGGACAGACTCATTTTTCTTCTACCTTGTTTTATCTTCTACCTACATCCAGATTTTTCTTTGACCTGCGTCTGATATCAAACGTTCCAACACCCACATGTCAAACATGTCTAAATGCTAACTTTAAGAATCACCTCAGCTGAAGATACATGATCATGGCTGAGAGAGAGATGTGGATCTTAAACTTTTACTTACTTGTGTATTTGGA